CGTAAGCCATGCACGTTCAAGTTGCCTTGCCAACACCCAAGCACCTTGAACTTGTGTTGCACTGTTTTACCATCATCCATGCCAAGACCAATGCCCAAGTCCTTGGCATGTCTGCACGTAGTTAGATCAAGTAGATTGCGGGTCTAACAGGTGGGCACAGGGTAAAACTCTCCTCCTATGCAATAGCTCTCAAACCACATAAAAGAAACTAACCTTTTATTGAAGGACCATTTATTAAAATATCTCCAGATTCCTGACTAGTATCCAAGACACAACTGACCTTCTCTGCCTTAATGGTCTTTTTCTGAGAAGGAAATCATCTACAGTATCCACACTCAATATTCCAGTCACGTAAACCTTGTTGAGACTCCATTGTCCATAAAATCCTCCAAGTTTGAGGTCTTCTGTACCTAACAAGCAAGCCTCTTCATCTCTGCTTCCAAGAACATCAACAAAACAAGTTCTCTGGCATCCATTTGGGATGGAGAATCCAAAAAGCATTGTTATCAACCTATCAATTCTCAAGAAAAAATCAAGAGGGAAAGAATATTCAGGGAAGAAGGAGTTGTAGTGAGTCTCAGCCACTTCCCAGCAGTCCTCCAACCTTGCCTTCCTAAGATAAACCTCAGGTGATATAGTTGGAAAAAGGTCAACAACTTGACTGACCCTACATAAACATATTAGAGAAAAGAAACCACACAATTAGGCATAGAAGAATACGATAATCCTAAATTACATGAAAAAACCAATTGAGAAAAATGTAACATAAATTGCACCTCCCTGCGTAACTTGCATCAGTTGCACTACATTGATCTTCATTCCATTTATAAAATAAATAAATGCGGGAAAATGGATCTGGTCATGTTTCATCAAGTCATAATTTCCCATTAAAAGACAAAGCTGATATTTTTCACATTACCATACTATAAGGGATCATTTTTTTGACTTATCCTATCACTGCGGTATAAATGATGGGATAAATTATCCCGAACATGGCAACCAAATAAGACACCAAATTTTTTTTTTAGGACTATTTATTAATCTCAAGACTATTTATTCTTATCCCTCACACCATATGGCCCCTAAATACTCCCAATTGATGATATGGGACACTATTGCAACTCTGGACACAGTCATAATTTTTCTTGTGAGAAAGAACTCTAACATAGTCATAAAAATTCCTTATCTACTGTAGCATAACTTCACCAGTGCTTTCTGTTTACAGGCTACTCATATATTCATCAAGGACCCAGAATATTCACCCACCCAATGGCACTTGTAACATTGGCAAAGAACTATAACCCATTTGATTTTTCTTATGTTTCATTCTTAGCTTATGAAACTCCTAGAAATCTTAAGAGTGTTCCATCCTCCAGCACTACCAAGTGCTGACTAATGACAAATTAACATAAAAGAGTTTTGGCCAAATTTAGTAACATAAAAGAGATTTGTATCTTTTTAATCCGAAGTTCTTAGTCCTCTTACGAAACAAGTTTCCAAGATTACTTTTACTGATCAAGAAAAGGAATTATGTTTCCAAGATTACTATATGCTAGCCATCAATCATCACAGTTGTGTATGTGCTGGTCTTTAGAAATTTATAATCAACACTGGAAGGTTCACCCGATATGTTAGAAGCAACTAAATGCCCATTTGGCCATGGATAGTTTTCACATTTTTCTAAAATAATATTCCAGAAAATTGTTTGGACATAGAATTGTTACAACTTTTCGGAGTTAGGAAAACACAAAAATGCTATTCTCAGATTTTTCATTCCAAATGACTTGCAAAAATTCAAAAATAACTCCAATCCATATTCATGTCCAAACACAACTCCAAGTTTCAAACAATTTTCAACTTGAAAACAAATACTACTTTTTTCCAAACTTCACAATTTTTATGTCCAAATGCACACTAAGGCAAGCATTCCACAAAGTTGCAAAGGGACTTCGATAGGAGCTAATATATAAAAACCTTTTGAGTAAGATTCAAAATGGTGAACTAAGGTAGACTATAATCCATGCACGCCAAGCCAAGCAAGCTAAGGGGTTCAAGAGCTTCTCATCAAGTCACTATGTGGGGGGGCTTTGAATGAAGATTTGAGGCCCAATAACACGCTCTCACACTTCAAGGAAGCTCAAGTACACATCTTAAGGCTATATACTCCTTATCTTGAAGATTGGGAACTTGAAGTTTATGGAAGGTCGACATGTGATGACCTTCAAGATTTGAAAGATATGGATGGAGAACTCCACTACTTAGACCATGGAGAAAGAGGTCACTTATGCAAATGTGGCTATTCTTAAGATACTACTCATCATGCTTTAGAAGATTATTATTTCATTAAGCTTAGGCTAAAAAGTTGAGAATATCTCCTTTAGACTTGAATTATGTTGGATGATATGAAAATTCACTTAAATAGTGATGCTCTTGAGAGAGTCAGGGTAAGGCAATTGTTGCTTGTCTTTATTTGATAGATTGCTTGCAAGAGGAAATCATTCTTCTTAAGAGTTCATCGTATAGTTTAGATGTTTGTTGGATTCAATTTATTGGGGGTTTTAGATTTCGATAGCTATTGTTGTCAATTAATTCGTATCTTGTTTTCGACTAGATGGATGATCCTCAAGTCATTTTGCTTGTGTTTGAAAGAAAAAGCTAGCGAAGGAGATATTCTCTAGAGTAGTTAGTCCTGTAACAAAGGATACAAAAACTCTTCAAGTGTCTATCTCCTGTTTCATTTAAAATTGTTAGATTACTCTAGCTTCCCCAAATTCGGGTGTGTAACTAATGCAATGAGCAAGAAGTTAGCAAAGACTTGTCGTCAGGTAAGCAAGTTCAACTCTTATAAATGCATTTTGGGCAGAATAAGTAATCTATGCTAAATATTTAGGAGTTTTTTGGTTTGAATACAAGTTATAATGAGGTCAATTATGCTGAGATTATTTCTTTTGGTTTGTTGTATTCAAAATAATATCCATTGCTTAAATTTTAAGAACATGTTGTTTCTTTAATAAAAATACACATTGAAAAGTGATGTATAAAAAAGATTTAAAGGTATATTTTGTCATTATCCTACTTTATCCCAGATAAATTATTCCGTAATTAGTATATCACCCAAGAAAAGGATAACTTATCTCAGTACTAATTATTCACCTCACAATGAGTTATTCCGAATTTATTAACCAAATCACAAATTAAATGACACTATAATTTAAATAACACAATTATTTGGTGTTGTCCTTTCCAACAAAGGACCACTTAGAAGTAGCAAATTTTACTTCTTTTATCAAAATAAGTAGGAAGAAATTAAAGAGAGAGTATGAGAACTCTTAGGCACATAAGAAAAACAATCAAGTGTTATATAGATTTAGAAGATAGTAATAGAAAAATGTAGAAAAGGGAATTGGACCTGATGTTGAGAGGGAAGAGAAGGATTTGGGAGAAGCCTCGTAATTTTGGAAACAGGAAACCCAAATGGGATCTTGATACCCAGATTCAGGCATGTTCTCCCTCCAATTGCCATTTTATGTACCTTTTCTCTCTTTCCTGCTCTAGATATCTATCCTCTGTGCAAGGTAAACGCCTTTTATTGCATTTTCTTTTTCTACTTCACCTTGTTATTATGCAAACATTTTTAAAACCCCATCAATCTTTTCTTTTTAATATATTTAAAAATTAATTATTATATAACAAAAAAATAAATCAAATTATAGAAAATAACTAAAAATGTACATAGAATTGACTAAGAAATACTCAAAACTACTCCCTCCTAATTTTGAGCTTCAATTCACACTAATTTTCGCACCAAATAACTTTTTCAACATTATAATAATATTTCATTATACAACCTTTTAATTAAATATTTTATAAATTATAAATATTAATTAAATTATGTTTATTTCATATTTTGATAATATTAATTTTAGATATAAAATATAATTTTTTTATAAATTAATTTTTCTACATATGACCTTTTTAAAAATTAAATTATTATATAACAAAAATTGAAATATAAAATACATAGTATTTTAAAAAGTATAAAAAAACATAATTAATTTTAAAAAATTAAGAAAATAACTTATATTAAAATAACAAAACATAATAATTTAAAAAATTATGGTACAAAATCATTTTACATTATAAGATTATAAAAGGAAATAATATGAATTATATATGATGATTGCTTCCAAAAGAACTTGTTTTATGAAATAAGAAAATATAAATGAAATAAGAAATAATATAATAATAATGAAGAGAGAAAAAAGAATTGATTTAAAATTTGGTGCAGTGGATTGGAGTTGATTTAAGGCTGGGCAACGGAAAAGATGTACCGGTACCGTTTCGATTCGTCCCGATTCAGTTGTCTACGGGACGGATACGGGACATATTGAACCGGAAGACGACACGAAATGGACCGAGATTTGGTACCGATATTGGTTTATCCCGATTTATTCTGGTTTCGATTAATTAATATTTATTAATTAATTTATATTATATATTTATAAATTATAATTTATATTTTATATTAAATAATAAATACTACCCAAGTAACCCAACTACCCCCCTATTAGTATTACATTCGAGACTTAATTGAAGCAGAACCCTTCCTAGAAGGTGGCTGCGTAAACTATGCACTCTACTAATAGTTGTAAAATGAAATTAAATTTGTAATACAAATTTATATAAATTAAATTGATATTTTTTAATTTGTGTAATTATTTTATATTATTTAATTTAATTTTTTTAAAAATTACAAACTTAATTTATTTAAATTACAAGTTATAAATATAACTTATAAATATAAAATATTAATAAATAATAAGTAATAACTTATAAACTTCAAAATATTTAAATCTTGAAAACTTAATTAGAGTTAACTTGCAAACTTAATACGTAAAAGAATTTTAAAAAGTATCTTCAAAATAAACTTAACTAAAAAATTATATTATAAATTTAAAATATATTAATTTAAACTTAGAAAAATAAAACAAATATTCATATTTTCGTAATTCAAAAAAATTATTTTTTGAAACAACTATATGTGTCATCCCGTTTATTCCATCTCGTTCCATTTCGGTTCGTTCTGGTTCCATCCCCTATATAGTGGGACGGGATGTAACCAAGTATCCGTCCAGGTAATTTCGGTCCGGTTCATCCCGATACCAATCAACGAACCGGTCAACTCGTTCCGCTATAGTACGACACCGGTTTATTCCGATCCGTTGCCCGGTCTTAAGTTGATTACACCTAATTTAGTGTTTGGGTTGGAGATGCCCAACAACTTTTTTGACTTTTTAAAAATTTATATATATATATATATATATATATATATATATATATATATATATATATATATATATATATATATATACAAGGAGAAGAAACAGTGTTACATGTCAGCACCACGATAAATCAGATTTTTTTTTAAAAAAGTAAAATTAATTATGTATATGCATCTATTTTATAAAAATTCTAACATTGTGGTCTTTATTTTGGAAAGGTATATTTTAAATTTGGAATAATGCACAAGTACCCCCTCAACCTATGCCCAAAATCTCAGAGACACACTTATACTATACAAAGGTCCTATTACCCCCTGAACTTATTTTATTAATAATATTCTACCCCTTTTCACCTTACGTGGCACTATCTTGTGGGCCCAACATTGG